TACAAGAAGCTACCTTGGATCTGGATGTCAGCTCTGACCCACCGCAGTAACACAAGATTGTAAAAGCTGTTAAGAGCCTGAAATCAAGAAAATCTCCAGGAATGGACAACCTGAATGCTGAATTGTTTAAAGTAGACCCAGAACTGACTGCCACCATTCTTCATCCACTATTCAAAACCATAATGGAAGGGAGAGCGGATTCCCGAGGACTGGAGCACTGGGGTCATTGTTAAAGTACCAAAGAAAAGAGCTCTTAGAGACTGCAACAACTGGAGAGGTATCACGTTGCTATCAGTTCCCAGAAAGATCCTGGCCAAGATTATTATTAACCGGATGTCGGATGCCGTGGACAGTTGCTTAAGAAAAGAACCGGCAGGATTCCGCAAAGAAAGAAGATGCACAGACCAGATATTTGCCCTCCGCAACATAATAGAACAGTGCACGGAATGGCAGAGGCAACTTTATGTCAACTTTGCTGATTTTGAAAAAGCATTCGACAGTGTGCATAGAGAAAGTCTTTGGTACATTCTACGATATTATGTGGCGTCGGTGGCCTAGTGGTTAGGCTCTCGGACTCGCAACCGTAAGGTCGTGGGTTCGAATCCCGTCAGGGGCCCGACGTTGTGTCCTTGGGAAAGGCACTTTACACGAATTTTCCTCACTTCACCCAGGTGGGAATGGGTACCTGGCTATAGACAGCGAACGATCTTGTCAGTTTGTTAGTGTTTGAGCGCTTAATCGGCTGCTTGCACTGTATGCTTCCCGGGAAGCTGAGAATGTTTCGGAGTGTTCTATGGTCTGCTGAGGTAATAATATAGTGTAAAGCGCATAGAGCCTGCTGCTGAGCGGGGATATGCGCTATACAAATGCTATCTATTACTATTATTATTATTATTATTATTATTATTATTATTATTGTTATTATTATTATTATTATTATTATTATTATTATGGAATCCCTTGCAAGATAGTAGAGGTCATCAAGAGCTTCTACCAAAACTTCAAGTGCGTTGTTGGAAACAGTACCACTGATTTTGAGGTAAAGATAGGAGTTAGACAAGGATGCAACATGTCAGCAATCCTGTTCAACCTGGCCATTGACTGGGTCATGGTGAAAACAACAGAGGATACATCAAGAGGCATAAGGTGGACTCTCTTCTCCACCCTCGAGGATCTTGACTTTGTTGTCGACCTTGCACTACTCTCCCATACCAACCAACACATACAGGATAAAACAAACCGACTCCACAAATACGGACGCCAGATTGGGTTAAGAATAAGCCAGAAGAAGACAGACGTGATGACACTGAATGTAGGCTCCCCAACGCTGATTAGGGTGAACAACACAGACCTGCCTATAACAGACACATTTACCTACCTAGGCAGCATAATCAAAACTGACGGCTGCACAAATGAAGACATCATGAACAGACTCGGCAAGGCAAGATATGTACACAGAAGCATGATCAACATCTGGAAGTCAGGACAATTTAGTATACAAACCAAG